CCTTAGAGGAGGCTGTGAAGGTGAGTCCTTAGAGGAGGGTGTGAAGGTGAATTCTTAGAGGAGGCTGTGAAGGTTAATTCTTAGAGGAGGCTGTGAAGGTGAGTTCTTAGAGGAGGGTGTGAAGGTGAGTTCTTAGAGGAGGCTGTGAGCAGCACCCAGCACCACCTCCCATGGCTCCCCAGGCGGCCCAGCAAAGGTTCCCCCGTTACCTATGGGCTGCAGGTAAATGTGCTTCCGACAGAAGTTCTGCTTCCTCCTGAGCATGGCGTGGTAGAAGGTCTCGAAGTCCTCGGGGGCATCGGGGTGGATGAGCAGCCAGTCGAAGGCGGTGCGGATGAGCAGCGTGCAGAAGAGCGTGCGCTGCGGGTTGTAGGCCTCGGACAGGAACAGCTTCTCGGCCCTGGAGAAGGCTTTGGCGTAGAGCTCCTGCAGCGCGGGGTCGGTGGAGATGAGCGCGTCCTTGAGCGCACGGGGCCCGAAGCTGAACTCCTGCGGGTGTTTGCACTGCAGCATGGCGGGGCGGGGCGGCGGCGCTGCCTGAGGGAGAGGACATGGCTGTCAGCGGCAACATGGCCATCAGCATGGACACCGCCATCACAACTGACACCACCATCAGTGCCAACACCGCCATCAACACTGACACAGCCCTCAGCACTGACATGGTCTTCAGTGGGGACACGGCCCTCAGCACCAACACCACCATCAGAACCGACAGTGCCATCAGTGCCAATACGGCCCTTAGCACCAACACAGCCCTCAGCACTGACACGGCCCTCAGCACCGACACTGCCATCAGTGCCAATACAGCCATCAGCACTGACATCACCATCAGCACCGACACTGCCATTAGCGCCAACACGGCCTTCAGCGGGAACACGGCCTTCAGCGCTGATACAGCCATCATCCCTCAGCACTGACACAGCCCTCAGCACCGACACGGCCTTCGGTGCCAACACCGCCATCAGTGCCGATACAGCCCTCAGCACCAACATAGCCCTCAGCACTGACACAGCAACAGCACCAACACGGCCCTCAGCACCGACACCGCCATCAGTGCCAACACCGCCATTAGCACCAACACTTCCATCAGCACTGACATGGCCCTCAGTGCCAACACCACCATCAGCACTGAAATGGCCTTCAGCGCCGACACAGTCCTTAGCACTGACACCGCCATCAGCACCGACACGGCAAACAGCACCAACACCACCATCAGCGCCAATACAGCCCTCAGCGCTGACCCCACCATCAGCACCGACACAGCCCTCAGCGCCAACACACCATCAGCACCAACACGGCCCTCAGCGTTTGGCCCCGCCATCAGCACCAATATGGCCCTCAGCACTGATGCAGCCCTCAGCACCAACACCGACAACAGCACCAACACAGCACTCAGCAACAATACGGCCCTCAGGGCTGACACCGCCATCAGCACCGACACCACCATCAACGCCGATACGGCCCTTAGCACTGACACCGCCGTCAGCACCGGCACGGCCCTTAGCACCTGGAATTSATGCCTTAGGGTTTTTGCTTCTATATTTTTCATTTTCTATATTTTTGCAGTGGTGGTCAGGCTGCAGGATTTGGGGAAGTTTGCCCAGCCAAGGTGGGACTTGCCATGTGAGGCTCTCGTGTGCTGGGGGTGCCTCTCTAACAGGAAACACTCGGGTCCAGTGCCATTGTGTCCCTTTCATAAATGGCTTCATGTCACACTGCGTTAGCATCAGCAGTGCTGGGGATKATGTCAAGTGGTAAATAAAGAGTTCATGAAAGCCTGCAGCACAAAGAAACTAATTTGGAGCATCCTGGAAATATCCTCTCCAGGGTCCTTTCCAAGGCGGGCGTTCTCCAAAGCTGCAGAAGTCAAACACCTCTTTCCCCCTGCAGTTTGTGCACTTGGGGAGATGCCAGGMAGCACCTCGGGGAGAGGGAAGAAAAAGAGAAAGCAAAGCAGAGCCCCTGTGACTAATCTGCATCTGAATTTTTCTAAATACGTGAATTTTTTTTAAGGAGATCATGCCAAGCAGAACTGGAGCATTTTGGAGCAGTGCTTTGGGCTTTTTGCCTACCACAGGTAMGTGCTCCACCTGCACACAGCAGAATGAGAAATTCAGGGTACATATGCACAGAAGCACAGGGTTTCTTGGAATAACTGTTATCTTCTAGACAAGTGAATAGTAACTTAAAAGAAGCCAGACAAGCTTTCTGGGTGGATACCAAATGCATGAGCTGCTGACCGTCCCTGCTATAACAGCAGCATTCAATCACAGAAAATAAAAAGAGATTAAATATTTTAAAGAGGAACTAGGTAAGTCTATAATTGAAGTAGGTCTGCAGCCTAGCTCTGCCAGGYAAGTGGCATTCCGAGGACCCTGAGGACAGCGACGTGATTAAGAAAATTCAATATTTAAAAAAAACATAGTGCCAAAATGAGCTGAAGCCTTTCCTCAGTTACACAAAGGTGGTTTGCACTGTAAGAGCAGCCCATTAAAATTAGCACTGCATTCCTTCACATTGAACCCTTGGGAAGAGCTGTGTATGTATTAGCAGTCCTTAAAAGGGCTCATTTTGTGTGATCTTTTTTGTCTCTAAGGGTGTGTAGCCTGGAGAAGGAGTGGGTAAGCAGCTTTCTTTCATTTTTGCAAGCTTTGTATTTGACTCGCATTAAAGGCTGACAGCAGGTGGCATGGAGGGATCCGAAGTGGTACAGGAGCCCTAATCCAGGGAAAGTTTAGAAATAAAATCTGTGGTAATTTCTCAGCTTTTCTTACTGCTCAAAAWTGCCCAAATTGCTCCTGCTGGTGTTCACAGGGAACAGCAAGAGTTTGTGTGAGGTTGCCCTGCATTTTGTGACCCAGATCTCCACATTTCTGACTTGCTTCCAGATTTGGGAGGACAAAGTGAGAGTCTGACCCCAGCAGGTCATCAGGAGTTTTGCCTTGGATTAGRGTGAAGATTTGCATTTTCCTAATGGACAAGATTTCTCTTGTTCTGCACAACTTTTAAATACAAGCTTTATTTTCCTGGTGATTGCAGAACTTTCACTGAGCAAAATTCAACTCCTCGAGGATGTGATGCTGCCTAGTGCTCCCAGGGAAGTCAAGAAAGAGACTTTGCACTTGGTTGAGACTGATCATGTTAAAGAATTTAAATTTTAAAGTTTCTGGAAGCATGAGCTGCTTTCATTAATGTTTTGGGCAGTAAGTGGAGCATCAGTGTGGGGAGGAGGAGCTGGTTAGAAAATGAATGGATTTTTCTTTGCTAAATGGGAAGCAGCAAAGGGTGGATGTATGTGACAGCAAATACAATGAGTGCACAGTCTTGTAGTGAGTGTTCCCCCCGGGGTCCCTCATGGAATATARTGTGAGCCCAGAGCTATGGGATATACATTGTTCCCCAAGGCTTCCTAAAAGGGGACATTCACCCAGCTCCAGACATTCCCAGCTGTGACCATGGGTGTTTTGTGATGTTCCCCTTGTCGAAGGATGCCCATAACGACGCTTCAGTGGTTCAAAAGCTCAGGAATTCATTTGCAGGAATTCAGTCTGGAGTGGCATGTGCCTCYTTCTCCTGGAGAGTCTGGCTTTGCTTCCAACAGAACAGCAGCAACCCATTACACTCTCCAAATCCAAACCAATTGCTTCTCTTCAGTAAACTTTTCTCAAATATTTCATTGGAGAAGGTTAATGCTTTGGAAAATTTTTATGGACAAACTTTAGCAGTTGAAAAAAGACGCTGTTTTACATAGCACATCTTATTTWTCTTGGTCTAATATATGGGTATGGYRTTTCATTAAYTGAAGCAGAGCAACAGGGTTTTATCATTTTTAGTTGCTGTGCTGAGGGTGCCTGGTATAACTCCCTGWGGCAGTGTCTCAGCAGGGAATGGCACTTTGGCTTGATTTTTTTTCCAAGAGCACATTCAGTTTTTAAGATATGATCATATGGATGAAGAAGTGGAAACACCAATGCATCCTTCTGCCCATCAGGTATTTAGGAAGGAGGTATCTTGCCTTTAAAGAAGCTGATTTGGTCCTTTATTCAATGACAAGCTGTAGGACCTGTGCAGCAAGTCCTGGGGAGGAGAAAGTAACTCTTTTTGTTTAAAAGGCCATAATTTGTAATTGCACTTGAGAAAATGCTTTAAGCAAGAGAATAATGTAGAGATCTGCTGCAAGTGGAGACACCCTCCACATCCACTCCTGTGCCATTTTTTTCCATCTTGCAGCCATTTGCTAACTTTGTAATTTTTCCTAAACTCGGGCGCACCTGTGTTGGGCCATATGAAGTCCATGAAAGTTGGACCTGATGATCTTGGAGGTCTTTTCCARCCTCARTGATTCTGTGAGACGAAGGAGCAGTGTCCCCATGTGCAGGATGAACAAGTGCCTGTGCTCTGGCACCAGCAGGCTCCCAACAGGGCAGGGAAGGAAGCTGCACTGGGAATCCTCACCCAGTTCATGGAAACCCTCCTTTTCTTTATTTGCATATWTCCCATTGTCCACCATCACATCCACACAGTGCAGAGGAGACAAAGGACCCAAAGGTTTTGGCACTTGGCTCCTTGTCTGCTCCTGGCAACAGCCTTTTCTGAGGATTGCATTGTAGGACACATTTGTGGCTTTTCTGCTTGGGGTACTCCACAAGGCAGGAACCCCCACACACTCCTGTCTGGCTTTCAGCATCGCTCAGAGGTTTCAGATCAGATTGGATACATTACACAAATCTGTTTACTATGGCATCTGACAGATTTTTTTTCTTCATGGTGAGTGTTTTCACAAGAAAYACCCCAAAATCCAGGCTCGTGACACCTCAGCAGTCTGTACACTCCCTTTCCCACACTAACCTGTTAATGTGCTTCATGTGCAATTCAGGTTACTCATAAATTATTCTCTTTGCAAATCAGACACATATAAATTATTCTCTGTAATTGAAAATTACCTATGAATTATTCTGTTTGTAATTCATACATATGTCATTTATTCTCTAATATATTGACATTGCTTTCTTCCATAGATATGCCTGGGGCTGACAGGATGATTCTCAAAGGCCGAGGCAATATCAAACAGTGTGAGTTCATCTGGGAYATTCTGACAAGACAGGGATGGTCTTGTGTACAGAAATTCCATGTTGTACAGGTCCAGGAAGGGCACTCAGCACATAATACATTATTTGGTATTGTGTAGAATTTGGCCCTAACATTGCAGACATTGTGGTTGGGGTTTTTTTAAGCTGGTCCTTCTAACGTTATTTATTTTATAAGTCAACTTCTAAGAAATTTCTAACTCTGACTCTCCCATAGGCACTGCAGGTGGCAGATGCACAGAAGGAGATTCCCTCTGTTCCCTTCCCAACTCAGCTCCTGTGAAGTATTGGAGGTAAATGAACTTAACATGGGCTCTTTGGATGTCAGAGGGGCATTAGCAGGGTCTCTTAATACTGATTAATTACCTTTGTTAGGTGCTGTACTGTAAACAAGCAGTGATAGCGCAGGAAATTCATCGCCACTCAACAGAAATGAAAAGCCCCGAGCAAACATAACGAGCAGTAACTAATTATCAACACATGCCCCAGTTGCTTAATAGCTCTTTCCCTGAGATTTGCACTTGGTGTCTGGAACTGCTGCTCCAGGATCAGCTTCTCCTTCCCAGAGCTTCCCAGTATTGCACCAATGACAGCCTGAAAAGCAATTTTCTCAATTTATTTGTTGACATGTATAGAAAGAGATTTTTCTTGACTGAGAAGCTCTGCTCCAAATGAAATTCTTACTGGTCCAGCTTCTCCTCAAGGAGCTCGAAACAGCCCCTCACACAGAGCCAGGCTTTGCCTGCCGAGTGAGCTCGGCTGCTGGGTCACACCAAATCTGTTTGGGCRGGTTCAGAACTGAAATGGGGGCATTTTGAGATACTTGGCAGTTTTTGCAATCAATCCTCTCTGCTCACAGAGAAAATCCACTCTGGACCAGCCCTCTACTTGCACCCCCGCGGAGCTGTGGCATCCTCTGTTCGCTTGGCATTAAAGGGCCACCAAGCACTGAGTCAGGTCTGTGTGTTCCAGACCACAAACTCAGATACAGCCTTCTGGCCTCGAGGAGTGCCAGGTCCCAATAAAATTTGTGTGTAATGTCTCTAGAATATGTCTGTGCCTCAGAAASAGATGGGCTCTCGAAGAGTCATTCCTGGTGCTGTGGAAGCCTTCAGCGATTCACATTTACCAGGAGGAGAATCTACCTGTCCTATTGGAACCGTGATTGATGAGTTACTGCTGCAAGACTCAGCCCTGGAAGTTTGTCCTCCCATGAGCCYGCCTCACTGATTAACTCGGACTGCTGGACAAGTTAGATGGACAGCTTAACAATATGCAAAATAAGGTTTGCAAGATGAAAGATGAGGTTTGTAAAGGCCATTAAACACCTAAGATGGAGGCAGATGTTTCCATCTGTCCTTATTTAAATATTCTTATTTAAGTGTTCTTAAGTATTTATGAACACATACACATCTACTTTGCCCTTGGTTTTGTTTTATCTTAAAGCCTGCTCTCCCAATACACTGTTCTCCATTTCAATATGTACTGAGGACATATATTATTCCTCGTTTCAGCCTTCTCTCCTACGGATTTTATTTATTCCATGCTCGTACAAAGTGCTACCCTATTTTTCAGTGCCTGCTATTCGAGGCTCTTTAAGTGTCACACAAACATTCATAAACTTCTCTGTGCTACCCTCCAGAAAGTAAGCTGGCAGTTGTGCCTTTCCCCCTCCTCCCCCTCATCACCCGTGCATTCCCCATTTTCAGTGTTTTCTCTTTTCATTTCAGTCTGCTTAAACTGCSTGCGATGCTTCTCCCGTGCACACATGCGACGAAGGGCTGGCTGCTGTTCTCCTTCCCTGGCTCTGACATGAAATAATCCTCCACAATCCATGTCTGCGTGCTGTGCACTTGCGAACCAAAGACCCGAAAGCGCCGAGCAGCATCTATCAGAGCTCTACAACAAACGTAGCACTGCAGAGATACCCGAGCTCTAATCACTCACAGCTCCAGGCRCTCCGCTCTTCATCATACTTGTCTAGACAGACTAAATGGTCTCTGTGAGACAACCCCGGTGTTCGCCAGCAAAGAGGCTGCGTTTTCCATACGGATGAACTCCCAAACAGGTATGGCTAAGGGTGGGTGTTCCCTGGAGCACGGGTGTTACAGAAGCGGTTCATCCCGCGGTGYAAAGGCACGGCGACGCGGTGCCTGCTCCTCCCAAACACATCAAGTGCTTTTTAAGTGGTGCCGCCAGGTCGCGGATGTTGTGGGCGTTWTACAGCCAAGGAGAAGGAGGGGGGTCCAAGGTGTTACTAGAGCCAGCGTGTCTGGGGGGGACAACGGCAGAGCCCAAACCCCCATTTCGTAGGGGCCGGCTGTACCCTGATCTCCGGCCAGCTCTGCCAGCCGGAGGCTYGCTGCGTACGAGGCATGTTCTGGAAGGGCTGCAGAAGCAGGTGCTGCTCCTGGGACACCTGAGTCCCCCTCCCGCGGCCGCGCTAATGTGGAAAAGGGGCCCGTTGATGCTGGTCCCCAGTGCGGGAATCACACGGGTGGATGTGCAGGGACGGAACAAGTCCCCCAGCACTCTGGGACGATGCACCAAGCACGAACACCGAGCTGAGCTCCCGGCACCGCAAACCCCGGGAGGATGCACCGAGAGCGTTCGGGCAGGACCCCTGGGGCCCGTAGGGATGATGCCCGGAGAGCAGTCCCTGATCCCCGGGGGGGGATGGTCCGAGCGCGGTCACCAACCCCCGCGGGGGGATGCCCTAAGCGTGACCCGCGAGCACAGAGGGAGAATGCCCCGAGCACGGCCACCATCGCCCGGGAAGCGCTGCCCATCACCCCGGGAGATGCCCCAGCCCGCCGGGGAGTCCCGCCGCACGCCGGGGCCGCCCGGACCCCCCTTCCCGCCTGGCCGTGCCCTCCCCCGATGAGACAACCCCGCAACCCCCCCAGTCTGCCCTGGGGGACAGAACAGAACTCACCGCCCGCCGGGTCGGACTGCGGAGACCGGGAGGTGCGGCAGGGCCGGGGCACCCGGCTCGGGGCTGGCGAGGCGGAGCGGAGCCCGGCAGCGGCGGCGGCGGCGGCGGCGGCAGGAGGAGCAGCAGCAGCAGCAGGAGGAGGAGGAGGAGGAGGAGGAGGAGGAGGAAGAAAAGGGGGAGCAAAGGGGGGCTCGGCCCCGCCGCCGGGAGCCCGCGGGATTCGCCGAGCGGCCGCCCAGAGCCGCCTCCTGCCGGGGCGCGGGGCAACCGCCGGGGGCGCCGAGGAACCGGACCCGCCGGGGCTGGGGGGACACGGGGACAGGGACAGGACACGGGGGACGGGAGGGGACACGGGGGACGGGAGGGGACACGGGGGACGGGAGGGGACACGGGGGACGGGAGGGGACACGGGGGACGGGGACAGGACACGGGTGACGGGAGAGGACACGGGGCACGGGAGAGGACACGGGGACGGCAGGGGACACGGGGGACGGGAGGGGACACGGGGACGGGGACAGGACACGGGATGCGGAGGAGACACGGGGTGTGCGGAACAGACGGGGTTTGGGAGCAAGAAACGGGGTCCAGGGGACAGACACGGATAGCGAGAGGGGACACGGGGCGCGGGGAGCAGGACGGGCCCGGGAGCGGCGGTGGCGGCGGAGGGTCCCGCTCTGCTGCTGGAGCCCGGGAGAGGAGCGGGAKCGCAGGCAGCGCTCGTTTTGGGAAGAGCGTTCCCCAAAGAGCCCGGGGCTGAGCAGCGCGGCGGTGCCGGGGGGCGGAAACCATTTAATGTGTGCTCTGATGAGAGCTGGGCGAGGAACGGGTGTCTGGGGACTGGTTGTGCCGGTGGCTGGTGCCATCCCCGCCCTGCGAGYTGCGTTTGCATTCGCCTTGATGCCTCGCCCGCAGCATCGCTCTCACATGACCTGGATGCATTTCTGTGTCCCACGATGTCCTTTAATTCGGGAATATTATCTGTTCTTGGAAAGGTTAATTGTATTAAAGGAGTGGATCTGTGTTCCCATTTCTTCGTGGATTCATTTATTCTGCCTTTCATGTTTTGATGCTCTTTAGTGCTTTGATCCCTCATTTCTGCCATCCCTAGATGGAAGGAAAAAGGAATACCCTGGCTGGGACCCAAGCGTGTCCCTAAGTGACACAAAYTGAAATTAGGAAAAACCCCATATTTTACAGCCTCCGGAGCTGTGGYGGTGCTGACAGCCCAAATGCCATCTGCTCATCCAGCACRACCACGRGCCTTGMAAGGRCCAGCAGAATGTCCTGCCAGAGCCRTGGTGGCCACAGGAGTGGACAGATGACCGTGGGCCATGCTGCAGGATTAGCAAACACCAGGATGAGACCATCACCTCATGCTGCAGCCTGCGTGCCCAGGACCTGCATTGCTCTGAAGGCACTGGCAGCATCACTGGTGAAAAATTGCCCTAATTTGCTGCTCTCATAATCAGGCCAAGGCGAAGCAGCAGCTTCTCCTGGCAGCAGCGGCTGCTCGTGAATCTTCCTTGTGGAAAACTTTCCCGAGATTCAGCGTGCGGGAAGGGCGGGAGGGAATTCTGAGGCCTTGCAATAACATCTTCTTCCACTTCAGCTGCTACCCAAAGCACTGGAGATGCCCTCTGYGCTGTTTTAATTGGTTGCTGCTTGTAATGAGACTTTATTTGTATTAATTRCTTAAATTATGTATTTATGAGTTGCTCTGAGTACACAGTCAACATGTTTAGAGCCATAACAAGCCTCAAAGAGTCAGCTCCTGCATGAGGAAGCTGTGAACTGAAAAATCAGACACWCTGATACAGTGTGTTCCCAAAATGCACTTTTTTTTTGTTAAACCTAATGTGTAAACTTAATGATTAGTAGTTGGCTTAGCTGCCAGCCCACTGACTGACCAGCTCAGGTAAACAGGGCTGGAGGTGTTGTTAAATGTTCTGACAATGATGCATTTATCCTGGGCAGCCCCAGGAGGAGGTGGGMAGTCCTTGCCCAGCAGAGCTGGCAGTGAGGAAGATGGAGACAGGGACAGAGAATGATGAGGAAACAGCCACACAGTCACTCTCAAATTATAGAGGAGACAAGTGGCTTTATTGAGAGAAGATCAGTAGAAAAGGAAGGGAAAAGGGAGCAGGAGGRGGTCAAAACTCAGATGAGAAGACARCCASGAGTTGGAGAGAGCAGTGAATCAGAGAGATGGGGATTTGGGGCCATAGAGGGAGCGGGAGGGCTCCAGGACAGCTGCGCTCAGCATTCGCTCAGCTGCGATTAGAGCTGGTCACAGCAGAGMCGTGATGCTCACCACAAGTGCCCTTTATCTGCAGGGATCAGCAGCAGTCACCACTCTGCTCTCAAATCAATTGTTTGTGCAGAGTTGTGTTTCCTGGAGTGSCCACGATCTGTGTCCCCCACGCAGGCAGGTGTAAAACGCAGGGGTGCACCTTGGGCACGTGAGTGCAGGAAACTTCATGGGCCAGCACATCCTCAGGGAGAAACAGAATGAAAAAAAACCCAAAACTGATGCCTGAGACTGGGATTTAAGCAACTGTGGCTATTTATCTGAAGAAAGTTGCATAGACACACAAATAGCTCCACGAGGAAAAAAGGCAGGTACCCATGAGCTGTGTAAGCCAGAGAGAAGAGRCAGCCAAACCCACAGCTGCAGGCTGAAGCCAGACAAATTGAAATGAGAAAATAGGCATTCATTTTTTTTAAAGAATGAAGTTGATTGGCTGCTGGAACAAATTACTGAGGAAAGTGAAAATCCTCCCATATTATAGTGTTTTCTATCCAAGATACGATGCCTTTCCCCAAGTGGGATCCAGCCAAGCACGTCTTCCTGGTTTCAAGGATGGGATGAAATGTAGTGACCTCTCCTCTGAAAAGGTAAAGGAGGGACTTTGTGACCCCTCCTGGATTTTAGGAAATGAATTGAAGACTGTGCTCTTGGCATGTATTTCTGAATCCCTCCTGGATAGTACCATTAATTTCAGTTTGTGCTGCCACCTCCAAGCTTAAATGCACGCAAGCAAACTTTCTGAAAGTCTGGACCTTTTCAGCAGCCCAGAGAGAGCAACGTGCATTCAGCTCGTGTTGTCTCTCTGCTGGTCAGCCACAAAGCCCTGACTCTCATTTGGGCAACACCACAGATTTACCAGCAGCTCTTGTGATGTTGGTCCTAAAGCAATTAATTGCAGCCACATCTGTCTCACCTTTAGGCTGTGTTGTGCACAAGGAGGAGAATTAGGGGATGCACACACACAAAAGTAAGAATCTAATCTCATGTTGCTGCTTCTCTGGAAATGGGGCAACTGCAAAATGTGCTAGGAGRAGCAGGCTCAAAAGCCAAAGGGTGAGATCTGCATATTAATGGTGATGGGAAGGCAGGGAACAGGACTGACTGGTTTGCACAGGAGACTGAGAGTTTCCATCCTGGAAGTTACAGGGAGGATGTGGCATGGAGCTGTCTGGGCCAGGTTTGCTCCCTTTGCATGCTGAAGGTCTGGTGGTGTGGTTCTGGTGGAGGCAGGAGGTGAGGAGTTCTTAAAGCAGGATTTTACCTTGAGCTGGAGAGTCTGAGGGACCCCATCCAACAAGGCTACAAGAGGTTTTGGCTTCCTCACTGAAATCAGTTGATGTGGCTCCATGCCTTACATCAGAGGGCAGGGAAGGGGGGTGAATGTTCCTTGTCTCCTCCACTGATGCCATAAAAATGCTGTKCATTGTGCTGGTGCTGCAGAAAGGCCCCTCCTTTGCCCAGCTGCTGCCCTGGATTGGGTGGTGCCATCCCAGTTGTGTGCCAGGGCATGCCCTGCACTGCTGTCTCGTGTCCCATCCCTGAAAAGCCCAATGAATGAACCCAATGGAGGTGTGGATGGACAGTGACATGAGTGAGGCTCTCACAGTTTTCTGTGATTCCTGGAGAATCCTGAGGCAGATGAGATGGGCAGCAGGGAAGGACAGCTTCCCTCCCTCCCTCTGCAGGAGGTGGCAGAAGAGAAGCAGGGAGCAGCAGGCACCTTCTGGTAGGTGACAAAGTGGGGACACCAGTGTCACCAAGGCAGCATCAGAGCAGCAAAACTGTCCCTGTCTGCTGTGTCCTGGCACAGCCCAGGCTCTGTTGGCAGCCTGGGGACGAGCTTGGATGAAAACAAATGTTTGGCTGATGTTCCTGTAGGGCCACAGACTTTGAGGAACAAACAGAGAGWGCCCAGCCCCTCTTTGATCAGTGCGTGCAATCTGCTGCCACAGCTGATGCTGCAGGAGAAGATAAGAGAGAGGAGAAGAGAACAGCTCTGGAGTGAAGATGAAAACACTGGGCAGAGGATCTGTGGGCRGATGAATGGGAGCCATTTATTTGTAAAGAAGTTGCTAGATCAGGTTTCATGTGCATCTGGGCAGCTTCTAATACTGTGGGCTCATTGAGAGCTGAGAGTTTTGACTGGAGCTGGGGACTCTTGAGACATCAGCCCACACGACTCAGCAGGAGCTGGTCCGAGTGTCTTGTGCCAATCTAAGGAAAATTTAAGGGTCTTCTTCACTTTTTACCACTGATTTTGTGTCTCTGTGGGAAGTCAGTGTGGATGCTCTGTGATTCATCCCCATGAGGAAGCATGATTTYAGGCCCCCAGATGGTTGCAGAGGCAGAAGAGGGGGCAGATATATATTTTTACAGCCAGGAGAATGCAACTTCAGTGTACAAATCTGGCCTGGCTTCAAAGATCTGGGAAATATACAGAATGATTATTTATTTATTTATTYATTTTCATGCTTGTTTTCCTCTCAGCTCCTGATTAGGCTTTAGGAACACTRAGGAAGGAGGAGGCTGCTGCCTGAGCAATCCATCCCAGGATTTAAACTCAGCCTGGTGTCCCATCTGTGTGTTCCCTGGGATTCAGCAGAGTCCACTTAGTGAGTCCTGCAGAAATAGCATTTCGCTTCCTGGCTCCAGAGGAGGTGTTAAGTAGGACATAGATAAATTTGGGAATATTAGTAAGGGAAGAATGACAGCTATTTCTATTGAAATAGATCTTTGATAATAAATCTTTGGGCAGAGAACTGGGGAGACCTGCCCTCTGTAGAGAGCTAGATGATGAGACATTTGCAGATAGGAAACTTTCTGATTCCAATAAATTATTGGGCAGAAATGGATGTTTGGGAGCATTTCAGGATTCTGTATATGCAGCCCTGTCTGGCACTGAGTCCTGCAGCATTTCAGCTCAGGGAGTGCCTTGCTGATGTCAACAATTCAGGGCTGGGTCACGTCCTGCGTGGCACCCCAGCCTACAGGAATTTGGGGACATTGTGACAGTGCAGGTGTGAGGTCCCTCTTGGTGGCACCTCTCTTTTAAGGTTTATGTGAGTTTTCCCTGGGATGGAGATGC